TGGATCCTCATTGGGTTCAGTTCTTTATGTTTTATCCTAATCAGGTTCAGTTCTTTAGTCTGGAACCTCAGTGGTTCGAGTTCTTTAGTCTGGATCCTCATTGGGTTCAGTTCTTTATGTTTTATCCTAATCAGGTTCAGTTCTTTAGTCTGGAACCTCAGTGGTTCGAGTTCTTTAGTCTGGATCCTCATTGGGTTCAGTTCTTTATGTTTTATCCTAATCAGGTTCAGTTCTTTAGTCTGGATCCTTAGTACCTCCAGTTCTTTAGTCTGGATCCTCAATGGGTCCGGTTCTTTAGTCTGGATCCTCAGTGGGTCCAGTTCTTTAGTCTGGATCCTCATTGGGTTCAGTACTTTATATTTTATCCTAATCAGGTTCAGTTCTTTAGTCTGGATCCTCAGCAGGTCCAGTCCTTTAGTCTGGATCCTCACTTGGTTCAATTATTCAGTCAGACACCACAGCTATTTAAATCTGGGAAGACTGACTGTCCTTTTTTGTCCCTAGTTCTCCGTTAACGCACAAGATTAGAAGAGTTTGTAAGGCTTATGAGACAAACTGAAACTCTTGGACCAGACATCCCTCCTCTGTCATTCTGTCAGTATTGGAGAACCTGTCAGCCAGTGACATCAGATCTTAGATTAAGGGCAATGATCTTATTCAAGTCTATTGAACAGGAGACACAGCAGTAGATACATTCAGTGAGGTCTTATGTCGACTGAAAATATTGATGTTGATGTATCATAATAGTCGATGTTAGTCATTAGATCCGCCAATGAAACTTAAAACTTGTGCCAAGAACTATTCAGCCTCTACAAATGGGGAAGATATGATGATTAACAGTTAACATCTACTCTGCTCTGCCTTTAGCTGATTCCTCCTGATGTTTTATAAAATCTTTTGCGGCTCTGACACGGGCCTGATGCTCTGATGGCAGGGCAGCAGTCCAGAACGACGAGCCTTAATGTGTTTGAGGTGCGCCTCCTGAGCCAACTGGGTTCTTTAGGCACATCAGGGGCTTAATGAGGTGAGAGCAGCTGTGGAACAGATGATTTTTACATCACCAGGGAAAATAATTACCTTCCACTCTTTATTCCACTGAGAGAAGCATTGTGAAGTCTCAGTCCCTACCATAACACACACACACCTGCAAGCTGACCTTCTTCATTCCTTTTGACCCATTTTCTGAAAGTGGAATAAAGACAGTTGTATTTTTGTTTCAAACTCAGCTGTCAACTTTCGTCCCTCTGAAGCCTACAAAAAGCGAGAAGTTAAATCTACTAAAGTCTGTACAAGTAAAACATTTTAATTGTTTTTTTTTTTTTTGCACCTTAGATTGAGTAAAGTGTATTACTGTAAAACACAGAAACCCGAATAATCATGAATAATTCAATAACAATTTAAAAAAGAGACAGTTTTGTCCCTCTAAGCAGCTCTAATGTTGCAGGAAGACTTCAGTTTTGTTCCAGGCATATTCAACAGCATCTGATTAGTGGATCTCAGAGTATTACCTGGAGGTTGATGGCGTAAATGTCCTGACATGTTTAGCCAGGGGTGCCATAATAGGGGGAAAAGCTAAGATTCTAAGGGCCCTTGATTGAGTTGGGGCCCAAAAGAAGAAAAAAAGATGCCCCGATAGATATTTCAAATATAAAAAGAAAATCCAGAGGTAAAATGAATAATTTTTGCATTCTCCCTAATTTTTCAGCAGTAAACAGTGAAACAAAGCATGAATAATTTGACCATTCAAGTTTTTTTATCCACCAGTTTATGCGATTGAATGCATATTTAACTTTTTCGTGTCCTGATAATTTTCCTTTGTAGAAATTTTCCAACAAAAATTACATTGAAAATATAAATAATACTCTGCAGCGCATCTTGATAGCAGTTTTAAAGCTTGCATAATCTATCATGGGGCCCCTGTGTACAGGGGCCCCATGATAGACTCCTTTATCAAAACAATAGCATATAACACTGGATCCTGAAAAAAACTGGAATACAGTATATAAACATTAGAACAAGATTCTCTGTTAAATTGACAGCTGCAGTTTCTAGACACCTGGAAGAAATGTCCAGGCTTGAATACAGAATCTCAAATCTTTCATTATTGTCTGAATGAATTTTACTCTCTTATTTATGTCTCTTTATGGCCTCTAATATGTCTTTTAAATAAACCATAAAGGGTTTGTGGTCCTGGCAGGCTTGGAGGCCATCCAGTCAGCTCCCTATTTGGCATTTCAAAGGCTAGGCTTTATCACTGTAGTGAATAGGCAGTACCAGTGGTGCCCTACCTTCTTGGAGAAGAACCCTTTGGATCTTTGTGCTTTCGCTGAACCGGGTCTTTTGAAAAGTAAATTAAAGACGCTGTTGTTCAAAAAGGCTTTGAGTATTATTTGCAAATGATTTCATTTTATTTGTTTTCTTTAGTATTTTACATTTTATTTTATTGTTATGTGATTTATTCTTTTTACCTGGCTGTTCAAACGTAATCAATCAATCAATCAGTTTAGGAATCATAAAACTGTTTTCATATTCCCTCATTCTTTATTCATTAGCTACCCTGTACACCAATGTTCCCTTGGCTATTGTGATTTTTTTTCTAAACTTCCGCCGTTTGAGGAACGCTGTGTTTTGACTAAGTCTTAATTAGATGACCATATCTTCTATATATATTGAAAAGCCTGTAGAAATCCATACAGCAGAATCCTTCAATAAAGGTTGTTCAATGATGGATCATATGTGTGTCAGTGTTCAGGTAAAGGCCATCGAAACAGTCAAAGGATTTCTAACAGGACCTCCCTGACTGGAGCATATCCTGCAGCTGTACGAAAAAACAATGGACGGCTGATGCTGGACCTCAGTTTAATTTAAATGTTCAGATGCGTGGAAACAGAGCAGCAGGTTGTTTTTAGCAGGGCTAAACTTTAAAGGCAGGATTTCTTTTTCTATAGCAGCTGCAGCTCTAAGCTCTGACAGTACAGCTGTTTGTACCTACAGTAGGGATGAAGACAAGATCTGCCTCAAAATAAAAGCTGAGAAACATGAATTGAGAGTATATTGCATGAAACTGAATGAAGACGTCCCCTCCCACTTTTTAACTCCAGCCTCCACCTGATGCTGATTCATTCAGTCCAAACTAAAGACGTCAGCAGACCTGTTTATCTACTCACTTCCTGCAGTTTAAATGACCTCTTGGTGGCAGAGAGTTTTTTCTCCATGCTGTGAAGCAGCCCAGAGGACCCCAGAAACCAGAAGACATCCAAACCTCTTTTACAGTCCTTCTCCCCACAATCAGGGGAGACCTGGGCTTCAGTTTACCCAGGAGCTGTTAATGTTCCAAAAGCTTTTCTTTCCAGGAATAATTATTTATCATAATAGTATGAGTGGAATTAACCTGCAGCCAGTTTTGTGTCATGTGGAAAGTCTCATTATAGTCCTATCACACGTGTTGAGTTACCTGCAGAGGTCGACCATCTGAAATGGCTGAAAGAGAGATTGATGGCCATGACCTCAGGAAGTCAGGATGGATTTTTGAGCTATGTTTATAAATCAGTGGAAGATCAAAATAAATCCACCTGAATTTCTGCTGGTATAGAAAAAGATTCCCCAGGGAAATGTCTGTCAACCCTTTTCTTCTTTATCTTTTATGAAGTGTTTTGGGTTATGGAGCTTTTAGTTTTAACCCAGACACTGTGCATTTAATGAGGTCATTTCTATCCATATGTGAGCTTTACAAGAAGAAATGACGTTCAGGCAGGTTCCTGCTCTCCCACAGCTTTATTAGTCAGACAGTTTAGGGGAATTTAATGTTTGATTTTGATTAATAAAGCACTATTCAAAGTTAATACCTGACATTTTTAAAAATTAAAGTCAAAATCAAAGAGCAGCTGGTTTGGATGATGTCTAGTTGGTACTAAAACAACTAAAACAAAAACTCAGCTGAATAAAACCTTCTCTGAGGAACTTTTAGCTCACATCATCAAACAGGTGATAAACAATTTAGAGGCTAAAGCATCACAACCACTGTGAACACGTTCCCAATCAGAGTGAGTTCCTCTGGAAGCCCACGTGACTGATGAAGAGACTGATGAAGATGAAGATAAAAGAGCCGTACCTGGAAGAGCCGCAGGATGTTGGCCACCATGATGGACACAGAGCTCGCTGACGCACCAATAACTCCCACAACTTTTTCCGGCTTCACAAAAACCGGTGGCTCCCCGTTGGTGCAGCGGACATCCGAGGTGTCCTTTTGGATCAGGGCCTGCACAAAGGTCAGAGACTGCTCCAGGGCGTACGTGTCTCTGGAGCAGGTGTCCAGGATCCGAGCGCCCAGTGTCACATTAGGAAGCAGGTCCTCATCTCCATTGATCTGATCCAGCGCGTACATCATGGCCTCCAGCCGGTGGATGCCGTTTTCCTTCTTGATGTCCCCACAAGGCGTTCCCGGAAAACCCCTGGCATGCACTGGGAACAACCCCCCCAGTGTCACATCTCCCTCCACTCGGATGGAGTGCGGTGCATATATCTCCTGGGTTCCAGCTACATCCATGAGAGCTGGAATCATCCACAGGATCCGGAGCATTAGATTTGCTCTCACCTCTGGGGGGCCACGCTTCTGGCAGCTCATGGCTCGGGATCCACTGCTTCCGCCCCTGCACAGGGATCAAAGCTCTCCCAGCGTTAAAACGCAGAAGTAAGGATGAAGCACTTCTCTGAGGAGTGAGAGGCTTCCAGGAGCCAAGTTCCTTTTTGTTGGAAAAAAACACAAACTGTCTGAAATCTTGCAGACAGATGCAACAGTCCGCCTTCAAGTGCGCGTTATCACCGCAAAGTGTGCGCAGAGCCGCCGCACGCTTGTTGCTCCAGCATCATCACCATCATTCCAGGAACATTCCAGGATCATTCCAGGTCTCCAGCCCAGAAAACAGAAAGATATCACTCCTTTAACTCCTGCAGCAGCCCCACGGATTCCGTCTGTGAAGGCATGAAAAACCCACCCTGCCCACGTCCCGCACTGTTGCCATGATCCAGAACATGCTAAACAGCAGAGAGGAGACTGGAGAGGAGGGGAGATGTTATGCGGGGTCTTTTTCCACGCACCACAGAACCGCAGGGGATGAACTGCTCCGCAACGACAGCACCAAATAACTGCGCTCCGCTCACCGCCGCGCCGTGCGCGTGTCTGCGCGGGTGAGAGAGGTGCGTGCGTGAGTCAGGCTCCTCCTCACCCACCACCCCTCCTCCCCCTTACCTGTGAGCGCGCTGCGTGGTGAGGAGAGTCTGCGCTCCGAACAGGACAATCTGTGGGATGGAAGATCCTCACGAGCTGTCTCCCGCACACAGACACGCGCGCGCGCATACTCCACCTACACGCGTCTTGTGTGTAAGACTCCTGTTGCCAAAACAACCCAAAAATCTCAAAGAAGATCCAATTATTGAATGACAGGAGCTGCAGGAGAGCAGTGTGGCCAATTTTTTCCTTCCTTGTGGGGACAGGTAATCTCTCAGGAATGTGTTTTCTTTTTAATTAAATTTATTATTTAATTAAAACAAACAACATTAAGAGAATCACGCGTTTCTTGACTAGAAAACCACACAGGGTGGGTTTTAAGTTCTTGAAACAATGACGGCTTCAGCCCTGCAAGGCATTCCAGTTCTTCTATTTGGTTTTAATGTTTTGTGAAGAATAAAGAGATGAACGTTTCGGCATATAATATATATTATAATATTTAGAAAGAGTATGTTTAGACTTGCTGCCCACAGAAACAATGAAAAATACAATCCCTGCTTTGATTGCATCCATATTTGCTTTAACACAATTGTTTCATGTCCTACCCTGATAACAGGAAACTATTGTGTTAAATTACTCTGTAAGAAATGTTGGTAAAAATTATTGCATGAAATAGTGCAATTTTTGGAAGGAATTTTCCGTTATTTGTTTTTAGTGATCTTTCAACCATATTTATCAGAGCTGTTAAAAGTAAAAGCTCTGACAACAATTGTCAATATTTTCGGAGTAATTTACATTAGAGAGACATTTAGAGAAAAAAAAAACTATCTGTAAAAAGATCAAAAAATTTTATTTCTTTATTTTCTGGATACTAGATAACAGAAACGGTTGTGGCAGAAAATTACAAAGACATTTTGTGTTAGTTAAACACATGAAGTTAATGAGCAATAAGGCTATGTTCCCACTGCATACCAATCAATTTGCTTTGTGATTTGGTGAGATTCTTTCCTCACTGTGTGAACAGGCCAAGTCACATGAATTCTCACTTTTCAAATCGGATACAGATCGGATCATTTGGAATCTGACTGCAGCTGTTTCCTTTATAAAACTATCAGTGAAGTGAAAATGATGTTCATCCCAGCATCCTTAACTTTAACATCCAAAATGTAATCATGGTTTAATGACAGTTTTAATAATACCTTTTAACAAATGACATTGTTAACGTTTAGAATAAACATTGTGGATGTCTAGAAATTAATTTTAGATCTTCATATTCCTGTTGTTGGTGATCAGCATTTGTACTGTATAAGTTTGACTATGAAGAAATATACTTCAGATATCATAGATATTCGGTCAAGCTGATAAATGTCAAAATGGCTAGTTAAAACATTTAAACATTTCTAGGCATATAAAACTTAATTCTTACTAGTACAATTTAGTTTTCCTTCACTTCCTGAAATTCAGTTTCTGGTGCAAAAATATAATTTAGAAAATCTATCATTAAATATCCAACAAGGAATGCCATTTTGACCAGGAAGCATCATATTTTATTGATTTACAAATGGAACAACAGAGCGAAGAGTGCTTTTAATAAATATTAGAACATAGTGACATGGTAGACTGCATATAAACGTAAGCATTAAGTCGAGCAGCAATGTTCTCCTTCTCCATTTCCTCTCCTTTACAGCTGTAGCTATTTCTCCTTCTTCTAACATACAGATTGTTCTTTTCTGCACTAAAATCTCTAGTTCCAGTGGTGGGGAAATAGAAACTTCCTGTAGTCTGTTGTCATGGTGACTCGTCAAATTGGCACAACTTGTTAACCAAATGCAGATAACCTACTCAGCGGTGATTAAACTAACTCGGATTAAACTAAGCAGCTGCTGTGAAACTGAAAACTCAGGTTTTCTAATCTTAGGCTACATCAATTCATAGTTGAGGATTTGAGTCTGAGTTTGTTAAACTCGCTTTTTAAAAAGGGGCTAGTTCAGGCCCCATCCTTTCCTATGAATGAATGAATGAATGCATGATTGAATGAACAAATTAACTTTAATAGACAGTAAAACAGCAGTAAAACGTGGTACTGTATAAAGGAAGAACAGCTCAACTATAGCTGTTAAGATGCTGCTATTCAAAAGTGGAGGATACAAAAAAAGCAGATGTTGCATTAGACAGTCAAGCTGTACTATTATGTATAAAATTGACTCAATCGTATAGACATTATCCATTGTTTTATGTACATCACTTATTATTACAGTCAAACAAATATTTATGTTAAATTTGTCTGGATCCCCGAACATGTCAGCATAAAAGGAAACAAAGAGGCAGGAAAATCTGTCACTCATAACAAAATAAAGGAAAATGGCAGAGGCAATGGGAAAATGAAAATGCAGAAACACATTTGTCTAACATTCAAAGAAATGTAGCGTGTGATAGAACTGGATATGGAAGAGAGGAAACAATCATGACACATTTGAGTACTGGCTTTATGCAGGTATCAGTAGGACTCAGAAATCAGGGTTTTGTAGTCGAGGTGACAGTGGCATAAGATGCAGAAGGGTCAAACCCCAACTCTGTCCATCTCAGTTGTCATGTCAATGAGCAAGACACCACACCCACATTGTGGGTGACTGTGCGTGAATAAGTGGATGACAGAATGTACTATAAAGTGCTTTGGAGTCTTCAGACTGTAAAAGGGCGCCATGTGATCTAGGTACACGCAATTTACCATATATATATATATATATATATATATATATGTGTATGTCATTGTAATCAGAAAGAGCTTAGGGCTTGGGCATTACAAAGCATCAGTTAAAGCTGCTCCCCTCATGCGCTTCACTGCTCGGCTCAGGAGCAGTGATGTGCCCGGAGGCGCCCGGTCTGCATATAAGCATGTCTTTGATCACGGTATTAACCTATCTGCTGTTTACTGTCCACTCAAAAAAAGAATAAATAAAAAGAAAAAAGAAAAAGAGAGAAAGAAGGTTTGCAGTTGCAGCAGATTCAATAAAATGTGTAAAATATAGAGAAGAATGTAAATTCCCAACAGCTTTTCTATGGTGGTAGATTCACCTCCGCCAACCACAAGTTAATGATGGAATGACTCCACAGTGGTTATCTTCAGGAAATGTGGTTGCCCTGTCACAGTGCATCATCAGATGACCAAGAAACTTTTTAATGAGATGCAAAGACATCTGTCATGACTGCGTTTCATATGTGCAGGTTGCAGAGGTCTACCAGCTGTAAACCTCCTTTGATCCTGAGATATATCAGCCACATTTTGAATATGGTTATAACCCTCCAATCTCCACCAGAGGAATCTTACTCTTTTAGCCACACTGCCATCACTCTTTTAGCCATCATGTTAGGCCAGCTTTTCCCATATCTAACCCCTCAGGTGCTACTTGTTGGTCACTGCTGGTGTGTAGAGTCCAACAGCAGAAAACTCTGAGGTTCGGTTAGATTTAATCTGAAGGAAAACAGTTAACTCGAAGAGAACCTGAATATGATCAGATGTTCAACATCAGTATCAGAGCTGAAAAAAACAGCAGGTAGTTTGGCTAAGCATGAACCTCTTCATGCAATGTTTGCTAATTATATGTAAAGATCCTCCAGATGATTTTTAGACCTTTATGTTTCAAGTTTTGCCTTCACATGTTTAAAGATTAGGAAGTCCAATCTAAAGGCAAACTGAAGAAACTTTCGCTAGATTCTGTAGTTTGATCCAATGTAATGAGATGCCTGGTACCATCCTCCAGAGTCCTAATGGCGACGAGAGAACGCCTCCCACATGACGCTCAAAATGGTGCAAATTAAGAGTCCAGCTACACAGTAAGTACCACCATCATAAACACCGTCTCAGTTGGTTAGCCCTGCAAATTAAATACATATACAGACATAGTTAATTTTTCTGAATGTGTGCTTCCCTGCAGCTCCTATGGGAGCAGCTGGTGCTGATTATGAGCTCTAACAAGGTGTTATGTCGTATTTTCTCCCCCTACAGATGTGGAGGTTTGACTTTATTGCACCTTAATGAGGCTTTAGTGGATTTACAGAAGAATCAAGAGTTAGCCATGGTAGGGAGACAGCTAGCTGCTTCTAATCTTGTACCATGGCGCTACAGGTGACAGTAGACGTATTCTCCTTTACAAAAAAATGCTGAATTTATCATGTATTTCAATTAATAACTTCCTGTTATTCTTCATGTTTTATAATGGAAAGTTGATCAAAGGGCTGCAAACAAGCAGCAAAGATTTGTACAAATCTTCAGGTGTCTCCCAGTGGGGTGTTTTTTTTTTTACCACGTCTTTGCTCGTTCTGCTGGTTTCTGATCTGTCTCTGCGTCTTTGTCACATCCTTGCTCTAAATGTAGACATGCTCTTTTCTGCGGAGCTTTCGCCGCTCCGGCTGCTAATTGACACCGTCAGAACCTTGACACTCCACGCCAAGCTGAAAGAATTCAAGCAGACAGGAGCTGCCTGATCAAAAGCTTTGCATCATCTCATTCTGCTCCACATCTTCACTCAAACACATAACAAAGACATCAGACGGCCTTCTTCAACTCAGAAGGAGGAAGTGCCGTTGTCCTGTTTGTCTGAGGAACCTGGAGACACTCAAAGACAAAGTGGATGATTATTTTTACACCGCTGAGAATTCTCCACGCTGAGAGGAAAGATCTTAATAATTACAACAGCTCTTCTCAGCTCTGTCAGAAGTGCTGGTTGAAATATTTAAATCGCCAGCTTCAAGAAAATGACAGAAAATGACATTTGCATGTTTTTATCTAGCCAGCGCTTCCTCCCACATGTTTCACCAGCAGGTACATTCTCCACTAAACATTCTTTGCTAAATGAAGGACTGATCATAGCTACACACAGTCTACAGTGAACCTGTCAGTAGCAGAACATGTTGCCTTATATCAACACAACAGTTGATGGACGGATAAAACAAGCTGACAAACACAGAGCATGGAGAC